TTGTACTCAGCCTTGGTGAGGCCGCAGCTGGAGTACTGCGTCCAGTTTTGGGCCCCACAATTCAAAAAGGATGTGGAAAAGCTTGAGAGAGTCCAGAGAAGAGCCACGCACATGATCAGAGGTCAGGAAAACAGACCTTACAAAGACAGGCTGAGAGCCATGGAGCTCTTTAGCCTGGAAAAGCGCAGGCTCAGGGGTGATCTGATGGCCACCTATAAGTTTATCAGGGGGGACCACCAGTTTCTGGGGAAACGTTTGTTCACCAGAGCGCCCCAAGGGATGATGAGGTCGAATGGTTATAAACTACTGCAAGATGGTTTCAGGCTGGATATAAGGAAGAATTTCTTTACTGTCCAAGCCCCCAAGGTCTGGAACAGCCTGCCATCGGAGGTGGTTCAAGCACTTACACTGAACACCTTCAAGAGTAAATTGGATGCTTATCTTGCTGGGATCCTGTGACCCCAGCTGACTTCCTGCCCTTCGGGCGGGGGGCTGGACTTGATCTTCTGAGGTCCCTTCCAGCCCTAATGTCTATGAAATCTATGAAATGGACACACTGACACTTTTTCTTTTCCACTGGATGCCCTGACTAGCAAAACACTAGTTTCCCAGGGAATGGAAATCCCATTTTTTCAGTCCTCTCTAGTCGTAAAGTACCTGGGATAAGAGCAAAGCTGCATTTAAACAGCTCTGGAAAACAGAGGTCTGGATATGTGTCTAAACTTGACCCCCTCTTTCTCCTTCAGGCAACTGAAGCCCTAGATCCGAACACCCCACACACTATGCAGCTCAGACCCATTGCTAGAGAGGCAAGCATCTTCCCTGTCCTAAGTGGGATTCATTTTTTGCTTAAGGACAACACTGCAACAAGGATTTCTGGTCGCTGCCAGGAGCAGGGTTACCTTTTCATACTAGACTCGTACTCAGTCCTCTGTTTGCTCAGTTCTGTCTTTAGCTCTGCCACCAAGCTCTGCAGGGCTCTGGAGCACTTGGCAGAGTCTCTGGAAGCAGTGGCAGGGTCACTAAGCTCACTGCTACTGCTGCATGCTTCAAGCCTTTGAAGGCTGTTCTCCAGATCCACAGTCTTGACTTCGCTTTGTGACAGTGAGCCCTGAGTAGCCCACTCAGTTTGGAGAGAGCTTAAGGCTGAGGTGTCACTGGCCCGACAAGCTGGGCAGCTGCTGACAGAGTCCATGACGGAGATTTCACAGGATGACGTTGACCATGTGGTGCTGGCAATGCTGTGTGTGCTGAGAGAGAGGCTGGAGGAGGGCACATTGTCATAGGTAGAGAGTCTCTGGGATGAACCTGAGTCTTTTACCCGTTCCCCAGAGGAGGTCCGGCGGTGCCCTCGGAGAGAGTACAATCCATTCATCAGCCAGTTCCCACCAGAGGACAGATTGGGGATATCTAAGGATGAGCTGCCCCGCTTAGGGCTCACAGACCGTGCCCCCTGCTGGCGAAAGGAATATTTCCAGGGGGGCAATGTCTGCACTCTTTTGCTGGGGCTGGTAGCTGGCTGGCTCACTTTGCCGCTGTGCTCCTGAGGGGTGATTTTAGTCAGCGAGCCAGGCACAGCATTCAAGACCACAGCACTGCCAGGATGCAGGTCACCAGGGCTGGGGGCGCTGTGCTCTGAGCGGCTTTCCTCGCTGTCTTCTTCAGAGATCCATTCCACAGTGCTGTGCAGGTGTGCAGGCCAGGCTGCGGGCTGGCTTCCTGATGCATCAGCCTGTGGAACAGCAAAGATCCGTCCCTGTTCGCTTATCAGAACAGTCATCAGGTGCTGAACCAGCGAGGTGCCTGTGGGGAGGAAACACAACCAAGGATTTAATCAGAGAAATGAAAAGGCCTCAGATATTCATTTCCTGGCTCTGAGAAACTCCATGGGGCAGCTCTGGGAGCATAATGTACAATAATGGACCTGTATAAATAATACATGCTAATAACTCTAGGCTCTTCCATCAGTGGATTGGAAAAGACAAGTAGCATTGTTGCCATGATTACAGATGTGAAATATGGGATTCAAACATGTCTGTGCCAAGCCTCACAAAAAGGAGCCCTCATATCTTGATGGTTTAGTACAGTGCAAGTGGTTATTAGCAATGTTATGAATGAATAATTACACTGTCTTGCCCAACATCACAGAGTGAATCAGTGACTGAGTCAGCAGCAGAACCCAGGAGTCCTAACTGCCAGACCTTCTACTCTAACCAGTACACCACCCTGTTTTTGTTAAGCAATGGGAGTTGGAGCCCTTAGAACAGTGGTGGTATATGTGTTTGGTGGCATGAAAACAGAACAAATGGCTTCTCACATCCCTCAGTGACTACTTTCCAGTTCCATTCTTTGTCAGGATGCACCCCTCTGCAGTCTGTCTTCTCCCCTGCCTGAACTGCACAGGTGTGTACTGAGTACTTAGGGCAGAGTCACCTTTGGTGAGATCCCATTGATGGAAATTGAACTCTGCTATGGTTTTTGACAAGTTATTACTAACCCAACTGGCTGGGCAAAATATTCCAGATAGCGTCCTTTACCAAAACTGTGATGACTATTTCCTGGAAATGGGAAAGTTGCACAATCAGTGGTAACTCATTTGCTAATGAGGAAAGTATTCCAACACTGTAAGGCAGCATGTAGGGCATCAGCTGAACCATGGCATGCCATGCTCTGGGGCTGGGGCTTCAGCGGCAGATACTGAATCTGAGACTGCTGGAGCTAAGTGCATGAGTGTGTACTGCTTGCATTGAAAGTCACCCTTTTATCAGCCAAAGCCATAGTAGTCTCATCTAGGTGTGTTTGTGGTCCAGCCACCACTAGAGGGAGACTGAGCACCACACTGGATGTATACTGGTGTACCACACTGGTGTATATTACAACTGGGACCTAGCTCAGTCCTACAGCTCAATCCCCTCAGCTAGGGTTACCATGCACCCGGGTTTTCCCAGACATGTCCTCTTTTTGGACCTTCCAGTCTCTGTCCTGGCAGTTTTTTAAAATATCAGCATATGTCCATGATTTTGCTCTGACTCCACTCAGCATCGAAGTTTTCCTCAGCACTTCCTGGCTTGCCCCAGCCAGGAGCTGCTTGGGGCTGGGGAGAGTGGGGGTGGGGCATCACCTGCATCTGCCCGCAAGCCCCAGCAGCTGCAGGCAGGTAAGGCCAGGACAGACAGGGACAGAAAGAGACAGAGAGAGACTGTGTGTACGTGCACATGCAAGTGCCTGCTGGTGCTGCAGCAGGGCAGGGAGGTGGGGCAGGTGCCTTCCCCTCCAGCTGGGGAAGGGGGAGAGGGGGCTTCTTTGGGGGCAGCAGGGCTGGGGGAGGCAGAGGGTTGTGGGTTGGGAGTGATAGGCACTGGCAGGGCTGGGGGTGGGGGGCAAGGGGCTATGGGTAAGGAGTGGGGGGCGGGGAGGGGGAGAGGACTGTGACTTGAGAGTGAGGAGCACCAGAGGGGCGGGGGACTGTGGGTTGGGAACACAGGGCACAGGCAGGGCCAGGAGGCTGCAGGTTGGGGGTAAGGGATATCAGCAGAGATGGGGGGTTGGGGGCTGCGGGTTGGGAGTGAGGGACACCAGCATGGTCTGGGTACTGTGGATCGGGAGTGAGGGGCAGGCACTGGCATATCACTGCTCCCCCATAATCCTATTACCTCCCTCCGACAAGTGTCCCCCTTTTTTAACTTGGAAATATGGTAACCCTACCTCAGCATATATGCTAACTAACCGAAGGCGAATCTCTCTGAGATTCCACTAGTAAAATATCGCTGGAGAAGGCCTGCAGACACAGGGCAGTAGACAGTGTTATTACTTGTCATGCACGCTAGTGGCGTGTCTTGAAGTACGGGTCATGGATGGGTGAGCCATACCCCCCACCCCCGGGTCTGTAACCACCTGGATGCCAGCTCACTATGTCATTAAGGAGCTTGTTTGTACAGTGGACAGAAAACATCTCTGCTTTCAGCATATAAGAATCCAAGCTTTATCTGGATGGCATTCCACAAAGTACAGTCCACTTCCACTGATGTTCCCAGATCCCATTCAGTTACAGAACAGAGGAAGTACTATCTTGCAGTTTTAACATTTTCATCCATTTCAGGCACCACATGGAAACATCAAAACTGCCCATGCTTTCCCAGCTAAAAACTGGTTATACAGATATGTTGAAATATGAAGTACAGCTGTCATCTTCCAGTTCCATGTAGGAATCAGATGATCCCCAGGACTGAATCCTTATTTCAGCTAGTGTGCTGGAGATATGCTGACCTATGACATGAATATTTTTCAAGTTTCAGATTCTTGGATGTGCATCAGAGAAGCAAGAGTTAGCTAGTTTAAAGCAAGCTCGGCCAATATCTGCTGCAGTGTAGACAGACATGTCCACAGACAGTTCCTATAGGAGAGAGCCATTTGCTTACAGAGAGCTTTATTGTGTTTTTTTTCATTATGGATCCCTTTACAGGACACTGGAGTGTATAAAGGTGGTTGGCACTGATAATGATCAGCAGTAATTTGCCTGATATTTCAAGTTTTCAATATTATCAGCCTTCAGAAGAACAATCAGCTTCTCACCTCAGCAACAGTAGGCTCAGATGTTTCCTGTGACAGCAGAGATAGTACAGAAGAACACCCCATGTAACAGTGTGGGGCTTGGTGCTCCTCATGCCAGAGATGATATGGGGGATACTCCATGGACTAGGAGAAATGTTATGTCCCATGAACAAGCACTGAGTGAGGAGAATTGTTCTGCTTGCTATGGGTGACCAAGCCCCCTTTGATGTCATCTGCATTGGGCAGTATGGTGAATGGCATGGAGTTTCTGATAATAAGTGTTTTTTACATGCAATGTCTGTGTGGGTCCAGAAGGTAGCACCCTCGCAGGAACGAGAGCACCTACCTTCCATCATGGTCACTGGATCTTCCATTTTGGGTCGCAGTATATTTGGTCCAAAGACTGTGGCAAGGTTCTGGACGCTCATTTTGTTTATGCTGGAGTGAGACTGAACTTCATCGAGGAACCTTGAAAAGTTCCCCCAGAAAACAGAGAAAGAGAAGAGAAGTGTCAGATTAAACCGAATGCCTCTGCCTTTCCATGTGCTCCCTCTATCATCTTGTGTCTCTGCTAGGTCTCACAGGCAGGAACCATCTCACTGTTTACTGTTCATATGGTACCTAGCCCCACTAAATCCTGGTTCATAACAGGAGCTCATAGGTGTCACTATAATTCAAATGACACATATACCCTATTCCTTCAAAGGATGTGAAGATAGAAAGGTCCAATGGCCACCAGTGCCAAAGCCACCGGACCCTTCAACCTATAGGAGAACTGAGATTCTCTCCTCTTTAGACCAAATTCTTAAGTCAGTTTTAGCTATTTCCTGCCATTTCCCACATAGGAACATGGCAGAAAACCAAGCAGTCAACCAAGAGAACTTGGTTTGTTTAGCTTAGCAAAATGAAGGCTGAGGGAATATGACAGTTCTACAGACATATCTCAAAGGGATAAGCATCAAGGAGAGAGGAGAGGTATTTAAGCTATACAACAAGAATATATGGGGATAAACTGGATGTGGGTAAATTCCACCTGAAATTAGAAAAAAGGGTTATAATGATCACAGCAGTGAGGGCATAAAGCAGCCTCCAGATGTGAGGGCAAAAACCCTAGGAAATGTAGCTAGCTTTAAGATGGGATTTGACTGAACTCTCAGAAGGATTCTACAATGCAATGCCTGGGATAGTAGGGGACTGGACTCCCTGCCCCAAAAGGTCCCTTGCAGGCCTCTCTGCATTCCCAGGATAACACTCATTCCCACAGCACTTTATTTTTAAATCCCTGCTCCCTTTTGTGGAAGAGTGTGAGATCTGAGGTGAAATGACAAAAAGAAACTAGGCTGGGGTGGACAATTATTTTGGCTGGAGGGCCACTTAACAAGTTTTGGTGAGCTGTTGAGAGCCACACATATAAAATCTTTTAGATGTCATTTTAATAAATTATAGATAAAAAAAAACAAATCATATACTAAAATCAAACATCTACCATACTATATTTTAATTTTATTTAAAAAATAATTTTTGCCCAATTTATTTAGAGGCGATTGCATAATAGCACAATGTAAGATCTTACTTTTGTATATTGTATGTGTGTGGGGAGGATCATAGGGGGTCTGTGGGAGATGTTGTGGGGGCATAGAGTATGTGTGTGGGGGGTTTGTGAGGGGGTGCCCATACACTAGGCCCTGAGAGCCAGCCGGGGGTGGAAGGAGGAAGTGGGGACCAGTGAGCACTACACAATATGGTGTAGGTTCAGTCTGTGCCCCGCCCCTCATATGGTCCATGGCTACCCCCACAGCACTCTGCATGGGGCCAAGCTCTGGCTGCTCTCAGAGGGGGCAGCCCATACTCTACTTCCAGCACATACAACTTCCCGGCAGGGCTGTTCCCAGTGCAGCTGCAGCTGTGGGGTACTGCTCAACTCCTCCTGCCTCCAACAGCTCTTCCTTCTCCTGCCCCGTTGTGCTGCTCCAGGCAGCAGGTGGTACAGTGAAGCAATGGCAGCCATGGGTGTGTGCTGGGCACCACATGCCCAGCCAGGTGGATGGGTGAAGCTGCAGCCAGGCAGCTCCTGCCCTAGTGTGTGGGGCTCCAGCTCCTGCTCTAGATTCCACTGAGCTGCAGCCCTGCACGCTGGGGCAGGAGCTGGCTGGCTGCAGCTTCCTCGCTGCCTGACTGGGCATGTGGTGTCTAGCACACCTCTCCATGGCCACCGTTGCCTCCCTGTGTTACCTGCTGTCCAGAGTGGCCCAGCAGTGGCAGGGGAAGGAAGCGGAGAAAGAGCCACTGAAGGATGGGGGTGAGGTGAGCTGAGCAGTTCCCAGGCAGCTGCAACTATGCTGGGAACAGGCCTGCTGGGAAGCTGTGAATGCTGACCAGGACCAGGACCAGGACCAGGACCAGGACCAGGACCAGGACCAAGGCTGGAGCCAAGCAGAAGCCTGGTGCCAGCTGCTCCGGGCAGGAGCGGGTGGGGCTCAGCCCCATGCAGGGTGCTGCAGGAGCAGCCACAGGCCTGATCCAATCAATTAGTATGCACCTGCCCACGGGCTGGATCCAATCAGTTGGTGAGCCATATTTTGCCCACCCCTGAACTAGGCCCTTGCTGTGCTACAGCACTAGGGACACAGGAGTGAGTGGATATTTCTGCCAGCAGTGCAACTTTTTTGTACAGTCCTCTGTATTTGATAGGTGGCTAGGGCCCTGGGCTGAGGCTTTTCTCAGCTCTGACCCACACCTGCTGCGTAATACTGGTCAAGTTTCTTAAGTTCTTTCTTGGCTCAGTGCCCCCTCTGTAAAATGTGGATAATAACGTTTTCCTCCTTCATGGGAGCACTGTAATGAAAAATTCACCTTTGGGAGGTTTTCAGCTACTCCAGTAATGAGGGATGTAGCAAAACTTACTGAGGTCTGTAGTTCCTGTGGCAACATATAAAAAAACCCTCTCTCTTCTACACTTAGGCTTTGCCCTGCTCCCACTGAAAGAGATGGGCATTGGTGATGCTAGCACTGCAGTTCACTGCCTTGATCCATATTGGTTAGTCCTATGTGGAGTCCGAGGGGGGAGTCCAACTCAGACATGGAAGCAAGATATAACTCAAAGCTCTTGCTGTTTCCTGTGGACATTGTAGCCTCAGTCCTTGCACCCACATCACATAGTCCCCACCCTCAACATCTTCCTTGTGCAAACTGTTAGACAGCAAAGAAACCAAGAAAAGAATAAGCCAAGGGGAATGAATGGCAATCACCCAGTCACTAGGTCAGGGTGGAGGCTGTCAAACTGCTTACTCTGCTGAAGTCCTCCAACCCTTCCTCTGACCTGTTTAAACTGTAAACATTTTGGGACAAGGACTGGCTACTACTCCCAGTTCATATACCACTGTGGGGCCTTGAACCTGGCTGGCCCTTAAGCACTGCTTTAAGAAACAGCATCATCACTATTAATAATATAAGTTATGCCTGTTGGTAGGGCAGTGGGTTAGAGCAGATTACCCTTCTGCTCTGGAGATACAAACTCAGAGCTTCCCTCACCAGGGCGACAAAATACTCCACCACTCGAACTGTTACAGGAGCTAACTGTAAACAATTTCAGCATATTGGCTCAGTAAATAATTTGCATGTGATACCACACAGACAGCCATATAAAACTTGGTGTCTCTGATTTTGCTGATGGTTTACCAGTGCCACTTACTTGCATATGTACTTGAGGAGGTTGTAGTTGGCTGGGGGCAGATTCTTTACTTGCTTGACCAGCTCCTGGGTACCCTAGAGGTCAAGACAAACAGTGAGAGCAGTTATTTACAGACAGATACAATGTGAATGGGACACTGCATAGGGAGGAAAATCCCTTTTCCTCTAACGCCAACCTAAGTGCACAAACCACAGTGCCAGGCTCTATGGAAAGCCTGAATAGGTACAAACCATCACCCACAGCTTCCAGCATAAGTGATGCTGTCAGTGTGGTGTACCTCTCAACTGATTGGGAAGGGAAGGCATGTGAACCTTGAAGCATCTATCCCCACCTGGCCTCTGTCCTGTCCTGACATCCCAAAAATGAAGACTCTTGGTTTCTGCAACTTCAAGCTGGCCTCCACAGGGCAACAGCAGTTTTTCTGCCTTTAAAGATCTGTCCAAGCAGAGCTGAGTTGGGCCAGGACTTGATTATATATTTGCAAACTTACTCCAGTCTGGCATGGGCCTTTGCAAAAGTGGAAGCATCAAACCCTTGCTCTCTGCATCTCTGGAGCTCAATGGGGCTGTCGGCCTGCTGGGGACTTCAAACAAATCACACTACCAACCCATACTTCAGTTTCCCCAGATGCCACCTGGCAACAGAACCACTTTTTTTTTTTGTCTTGCAGAAGACTTGGGAGGCCTATTTCAATACTGCTGAGACCAAGACTTTGTCCTGTCGTGGTACCTTCCATGCAAAGGTCTCAAGATGCCATGCAGGCATTATTAAATCTAGCTCTATGATCAAGGGTAGAGAAGTACCACTGTTTTCAATTGCCAAGCAGAGAAGCAGAGGTAGAGAGAGGTGAAAAGACTCATCCAGGGTGACACCAAGACACAACAACTAGAAATGAATCCCAGGTGTTCTAACACTAAGTGCCATTCACTTCTGCTCTGAGGAAGTAACTGTAAAAATGGTATGTAGGGTTTCTTGTTTATTGCTTTATTGCAAATGTGGCCATTTCACAAAGAAAAATGAAAACATGGGGAAAATGAGATAAGTTTTACAGCACCTCAATGCTGTTGGCTTCCTGTACACTACCTTGAGACCCTCACAGGACAGCAAGCACTGTGTGCCCAAGACTCAGGCCAGCACTCCTTGTGAGAAATACTCCTCTTGTACTGCAGGCTTTGGTCCTGCTGAGCAGGTAGCAGGAGTCCCCTCCCCTCCCCACAAGGCAGCCTGGACATGCTAGTCCCCAACCTGATAAAATCACACTCATTAGATTTTCTGGAAAAAATACTGCTGGGGAAATAAAAAAAGGAAAAAAACAAACCCAGTTGAATTTTATGAAGTGCAATGGAAACCACATGCTTTGCAATTCCCTGTGTAAGCAGGTTTGTTCCCAGGAATAAAAAGGACGTATTGTCCAAAATGAAAAGGTTGCAAAATCCTGTAAGTATGACACCACTCCATAGTAACAGTAGTCAGTCCTCCAGGGCTGATTTAACTGTCATTCAAGTCAATGGTAATCCTTAGACTCCAATGGCTGTTGAGCAGGCCCTTAACTAGTTACCTCTACCACTCTTCTGAATCTTCCCTGAGGCCCTGATACAATTTTACCAGCTTATTTGCCTTTTCAGTGCCCAGTCTGTTTGGGAGCATCAAGCAGAGCAGTCACAGTGCTGAAAGCACATACTGTTGATGCTGAGCTGGTCAGACAGGCATGCATGTCTTATGAAAACCAACACATTCCACACCGACTGCACTGTCTCCCATGGTCTCACTTCTGCTATTCCCCATCGTTTTCATGCAGTGAGTTGGGATGACTTCTGTGCAAGTCCAGATCTAGGGCAAAAATCTAAATCTTATGACAGGAGGAGAGATAGGCTACTGAGGAGCTACTGGCTCCTTAGAGATATTTTGAGTCTCAGTGCTGTGTCCATGGCATGAATGACTACATCTCTAAGTCTTTTTGTAATTTTTTGTTCTCTTCACTGCAGAATCCAGCAGCACCTGGACTGCAGGGAAAGGGGCCTGAGGCCACTGGCTGTGCCCTGGTGTTGACACACTCCAAGGTGATCCCGGAGGAATGAAGTTATGGGTGAATAGCTTCAAAACAGCCTGGTGGTTCACACATGAGACAAACATGTGGATATTTATCTGAAACTGCTCAGACCTCAGAGGCCACTGAGCTGGGAATTTCAAGACACTCACTTGAAGATCCCTAAGAGGGTAGGGGGTCTAGACACGACAGAAAGACCTAGAGAGCTGCCTTTCTTATAATATTCCCATATTTCTAGCTCTGTTCCCAGCCCTCCGTTAAACACAGAGTTGTGGGAAATCCAGGAGAAAAAAAAACAAACAACAAAAAACAAAGAACCCATCAACTGTGAAAAAAGGAAACTTAAAAGGCATTCAAAAGTGACTAAAAACCTGTCCAGAGATACCTTCCTGGGATCAAACTTAGGGGTCACCCCCAAATCAGGTCTTTTCAATAGTGTCAAAACCCAAGGCATCAAAATCACCTGTCACTTTGGAAAATCTTAAACACAGGTTTTTGAACCTTTGACAAGGTTCATCTGAGGTGCAGCTACAGCTTGGCAGAAGCATTCAGGTCAGTTTTAAGTTATCATTAGTTTATCCAAAATAGCACGGTATTTTTTTATTTTCAAAAGTGAATGAGTTGGAAAATAATTCAGCTAACAGGCCAAATGTGTCTAATTTTTATTCTACAGAGTTCAGAGGCACAGATAAGGGCAGCAGTTAACTATAAGTATTGACAACAGTGTTTAACTATAAGTATTGACAACAGTGTTAAATGCCACAGACCCACTGGGTTGAGCAGAGAAGTTTTGCGCATCCTCTTCCTAAATGCAGGCAGAGGGGCAGTTTAATGCAAGACCCATAGGGAATGGATGAACAAATTGGGAGACCTTACACATAAAATAAACAATTATCTACAACCCAGTTATCAAGAGAAAGTCACTAGGAAATCATGAACTTGGAGAAAGCAAAACAGCACTTAGAAATGTATCAAGGTAAAAATACATGCCAGCTAGACTTCTGTCCTTACTGGTGCCACCATTGCAGGAGTAGTTTTCAGTCTGTTGCAGGCTGGTGTCCACTGATAACATGAACAACAGCCACAGGAAGGCTGGTCGCAGCAAGGCTGTCCCAGAGAACTGTGAGGGCACTTTCCTAAATACTCAAAGTTAATCAAGTAGAAAGGACTACAGTATTATCAACTTGCCTTCAGCTTTTAAGAGACATATATCCCTCTTTCACCCATCCCTGTGGTATTCTGCATTGACACTCAGTCCCTTGTAGCATCACTAATGTAAAATGCAGTGTTTCAGACCAGTACTGCAGGAGACTCCTTTACAAGGAGGTTTTTTGGCGCACAGAAATTTCCAAGGTGTTGACCAAATTGGTGTTAGCAAAGTCTCCATGTTGGGCTGAAGACCCAGGGTTCAGCAGGGCAACTCAAGCCTCCTCCTCTATCCCCTCACACTTGACCTTCTCTTTAAAGAAGTGATTCTCAATCGGGGCGATGTAGCACTGTTGGGTGCCTTGAGATAATTTCAAGGATGCCATGGGATGCCACACAATGTTAGCACTGTTAGGTGTGCAAACATGATTCACAAAATAAACCCAGAGATTTCAAATAGGAATTTATAGGGTCAAAAACATTCTGACCTCTTCATAGTTTCATAGTTTGTAGGGTCGGAAGGGACCTGAGCAGATTA